GGGCGACGGCGCTGCGACAGAAACCACACCCAATGCCGCGGTAGAGGCATCCCGCGAGGCGGCGAACACAGAGGATGGCAGTGCAGACGACGATGACAAGAATGACAAGGGCGACGCCAAGGGCAAGGTTAAGGGCGACGACGAGGACGATGATGAAGAGGAAGAAGACGACGATGATGACGACTCGGAAGAGGAGGAAGACGAGGAGCCCAAGCTCAAGTACGCCCGATTGACCCAGCATCTGGGTCCTGTGTACCGAAATGGTGATGCGACCAGCACCTTCATTGTGGCCGGGGATAAGACGGTTGGGAGCCCTCATCCCGAGCAAATCACTCCGCGCGGACGCCTTTGACTAACTTGCGACCATTATTACACAAAAACAGATCATAGGTACACACAATGGCAACATTCACGTCATCCAGCTACCGGCCTTCCAGTCGCTGCGCGTTTACCATGCGCACTCGGCTTCTGTTACATCTTTGTCGATATCGCCATATCCACCGCCTCTTTCGGCCCTCAGATCCGAATCTCCTGCTCCTCCTCAAAGCCCTCGCCGCTCCAACACGGTCGAGAGCAGCCATGCATCGGCGGCGGCGACTTCCCGGAGACCACGAGAACTTAACCCCGTTCCCAACACTCCGTCAAACAACATTTACATTGCCACCTCGTCAATGGATGGTAACGTCTGTGTCCAATCCCTCGTCGACATCAAAGATGTACACCTCCGTAACTTTGCGCGCCCCATCCAGGCTGTCGCGCTGTCCCCAGAGTACAAGGCAGACAAGACGTATTTGTCCGGCGGGCTCTCTGGTCAGCTTATCTTGACGGTCGGCGCACCGCAAGGTCGGAGCACGGCAACGACCACGGGCGCGGCAGCGCAGGCGGCTGGCTGGCTGGGAGGCATGGTGGGGGCTACTACGGGCAAAGATACCGTTCTACACTCCGGCGAGGGCACTATCAACACGATCAGATGGTCGTTGTCGGGAAAATACGTCGTGTGGCTGAACGAACATGGGATCAAGATCATGCGCACCAAACTTCATCTCGACCACGCCGATGCCGAAGATGCTTGGAAGCGCATAGGCCACATCGACCGCCCCCAAACTGCCGAGTGGGAAACAATGGCCGGCGTGTGGAAGGGAAGGGTTGAGTGGATAGATGAGCAAGCCGTAGAGTCTGATGATGTCGCGAAGGAGCCATCACAGGATGTCGTCGTGTCGCCGGCAGCGGAGAGGTTAAAGCAGCAGCAGCTGAAGCATAATAAAACGATCGAGCGCCTCTTGGTCGGATGGGGTGGAACAATATGGATAATACACGTTCACTCTGGGGGCATCGGGGTTGGAAGAAATGCCGGAGAGAGGTCCGCTGGTCGGGCCGAGATTGTAAAGCTGTAAGGGAAACTGCCCTGTTTCATCATGCTGTGCTTCTTGTTGCTAACTCCCAATCAGACTTCGCATGGATTGCATCATTTCCGGCATCTCGTTATATACCCAGAACTTGGTACTAGTTCTCGCTTACTGCTTACCCGATGGAGAGGAGGAGGTAGAAGGGCACTCGCCGCCTCGTGGTCAAAAAAGTACGTCGCCAAGCGGAAGCGAGCCTTCAGGGGGAATTCGAAGGCGACAAAACAATCCGCCCCCCGAGTTGCGACTCATTGACTTGACATCGCAGGCCGAAATTGGCATGGATAGTCTCACCCTCAGTCGGTTCGAAAGGCTGTCGTCCAACGATTACCATCTCGGCGTTCTCCCGGCGCAGACCGTTGCCGCTGCTGAATCAAGCCGCAGTGCGCTCGAAGCCTTGGCAGGGCTCGGTTCCGACATGTTGAACGCCGCTCTCAACCCCATCTCTCTTTTCAGTTCGTCTGCGAGTGTGAGGAGCAAGGATAGCAACGATGGGAGCTCTGCGCTCAGAGTGCATGCTGCTTCGGTCCTTTCGCGAACAGGTCGCGGTGCCGCACATCCAAACTTGACCAAACCAGGGATAAAGATCTTTATCCACAGCCCGTACGATTGTATCCTAGCAACTAAGAGAGATCTGGGAGATCATCTGACGTGGCTTTTGGATCATCAAGAGTACCAGAAAGCGTGGGAGTTGGTTGACGAGCATCCAGAGATCATGACAGCTGCCCCAGCGCCGGAGACGACGCCCTTGTCGCCAGAACAAACCCAAAGTACAGATGAATTTTACGACGACTCTGCCTCGGCCACGGAGGAGGGGCTTCGGTCGATCTACTCGTCCGCGGAGAAAGAGAAGCGTCGAATCGGGGAGCTTTGGGTTCAGGAGCTCGTCGAAGCCGGAGATTGGACGCGAGCTGGACAGATCTGCGGCAAGGTTCTGGGCACCCCTGATCGGTGGGAGAAATGGGTATGGACTTTTGCTGGAGCGCACAAGTTTGATGAGATTGTCAACTACATACCGACCGAGCGGACGCGGCCGCCGATTCCGGGAACTATTTACGAGGTTGTGCTGGGGCATTACCTCCAGACCAGCAAGCCTCGGTTCCATGACCTCCTTGAGCGATGGTCTCCAGACCTGTTCGAGATTAGCACCATCACAACAGCCTTGGAGGACCAACTCAAGTACCGGGATGTTCGCGAGGACAGCGTCGAAGATGGCGAGGTCGGCCGAGATTGGCGGATCGTCATGGAGAGCCTCGCCAAACTTCACGAGGCTAACGGAAGGAAGAGGGAGGCTCTCAAATGCTACATAAAACTCCAGGATGCAGACGCGGCAATGAGGCTGATCAAGGACGGTCACCTTGCGGATGCTGTGGCTGATGACATTCCGAGCTTCATTGGACTTCGGGTTCCTCATGCCAGCAAGATGACGCGTGACGAGCTCGAAGACGCGACGTCCGAGGCTATCACACTGTTGGTTGATGAGGCGCAACATGGCTTGGTGAAACCTGACATCGTTGTAACCCAGCTACAGAACAATAAGCTGGATCTCTACACGTTTTTCTATCTTCGTGGTTTGTGGAGGGGAGAGGGCTTCCACGAGCACGCCGGCGAATCGAAAGCCCGCCTGGTGACGGAGAGCCAGTCACTTGTCGACAATTTTGCCGATCTTGCCGTGCACCTCTTTGCTATTTACGAGCAATCACTGCTCATGAACCTCCTGAAAAAGTCGACGGCGTACACGTTTGAGAAGGTTTGTTACTCGTTCTCACCTGCCTTTGCTATTTCATTAATTGCTAACACAGAAGCTCCCAGGCCGTCCAAGAATGCGAGAAACACAACTACATACCCGAACTGGTCTACCTCTACTCCAAAACCGGCCAAATGAAACGCGCCCTCTACCTCATCATCGACCGCCTTGGAGATGTCAGCCGCGCCATCGCCTTCGCCAAGGAACAAGATGATCCAGACCTTTGGGAAGACCTTCTGGAGTACAGCATGGACAAACCCAGATTCATCCGTGGTCTGCTGGAAGAGGTTGGCACAGCCATCAACCCCATCACTCTCGTCAGACGGATCCCCGAGGGTCTGGAAATCGATGGCCTCAGGGAAGGTCTCAAGCACATCATGAAGGAACACGAGATTCAGTATAGTATCAGTTCCGGCGTGGCCAGGGTTCTGCGGAGTGAAGTCGCTGCTGCGCAGAACCTCTTGAGGAGCGGGCAGAAGAAGGGCATCAAATTTGAGGTTGCTGTCAAGCGGAACGATCACGTTGATGTGCAAGCCAAGGACGTTCCCACCGTCCAAGGGAACGAAAAGGAAGCCGTGCAAGATGGCGAGTCCAATGGGAATTCACTACCAGCTAAACCCCCAGGGGCAGGCAAGAAGTGGGAGCCGGGACATTGTGCGCAGTGCTTTGAAGCGTTCTCGCAATGGGAGATGGAGACGCTGGTTGGATTCGCGTGCGGACACGTGTTTCACTTGGCCCATCTGTTGGAGAGGGTGAATCCAGGCCAAAAGGTGGACGAGTTGCTGTTGAACGGGGTTGGGGGGGAGCACGAAAGGTCGCATTTTATTGGGCCAAAAGTCACACATGCTAGGTTGCTGAAGGATCGAATTGCGGCGGGCTGTCCTGTCTGTAGGGATGCGGAGGAGAGCTAACGGAACGGGGAAGGGAGCGATTGTGTATATGATGCCCGAGAATAGGGGCTTTTTTTTTTTTTTTTTTTCTTCTTTTTTTTGGGGGGTGTAAATAGTGATTGTTTATGGGTTCCCAATTGAATTTGTTAAAAGCTGCTGGTGATGGTAATCATACCTATCTATCTCGTCTAGTACGTGAAAAAGAAGTAAGAAATCATGTCGTTCATTCCTGTGGGCGTATCATATCTAGGTATTTGAGTCTTATTATATCTTACTAGTACCTTTTGTTTACATACGCAAACAACAAAGCTGATGAATGAATCCGGTCATGATTTAATGTTACCAAGCCGGGGGGACAACTATTTTTCCCATTCCAAAGTAAAATTGGATGTTATAATTTCGGCAAAGTGCACACGTCCGGTTTGAAATCATGTAATTTCAAAGCAGGTTGCATTTCCAATCCGTTGGGTTTATAAATTGGGTGACCTAAGCGACGACCTACGTACCGTTTTGGGGGAAACGTTAATCCGATTTATAGCAGCAGGACGCAAATATGGACAATCTAAATACCTAAGATACATAGATACTCTGCTTGTAGGTACCTACCTAGTTATTTAACAGCATTATTTTTAGCAAAAATGGATGTTGGGTTGAAAAAAAATAAAATTAAGTGAGACATGTTGTTTAGGTTATAGGTGATGGTTACATACCTACCCTAGGTATTTTCTGGGGAAACATTGGAGCGAGTTAATTTGTGGCCACATCAACCTCACTTAACTTGCAGTGCGTAAAGTTGTTGAAATATTTGTATGAGATTTATGATGAAACAGCAAACAGAGCATAAGCAACTCTTCGTGGCATCACAAACGCTGAGTCGGCCTAGCGAACTAAGAGACTCTCGCAAGTAGACCACCTAGATGAGACTTATTTTCACGGTATTGCACATTCATCTAGTTCAAAGGGCGTGTGGCTCAGTTGGTAGAGCGCCCGCTTAGCAAAGATAAATCACCAGATTTTCAGAAGCAATGCGGAAGGTCCCCGGTTCGATTCCGGGCTCGTCCATCATCTTTTGTCTGTCCTGTATTTTCATTTTGATAATTGAATTTACCCAGATTATGTGTTTCTGTTTTGGTATCTTGTTGGAAGGCATTTAACGATGCTTCTATTAGTTTGTTGTCCCCTTATATTTGTCAGCACATATTCTAAACCCTGTTTGATTCATGGGCGTTGACATGCAAGCTGAGCCCGTGGTTTACTGAAATCTCCCGAGGGTGCCGGATTATCTTTCAAAGGGCTCCACTTCCTGCCTGCTAGTCATGATTTGTAAGAAACAAGCCACAACTGATGAAGAGAAAAACAAAGTGGTGAGAAACGTATTTTTAACGGATGCAGAATACTGGAATCTTCGATGCAATAGGACCCAGAAAATGGGGGGTGTGAGAAGATACCTACCTAGGTATGGAACAATTGTTCTCTAGGTGGAAAGTCTATTAGGTTGCACCAGGTTTCGGAACGGAAGCACGAGCGGGACTTTTGTGCTCTCAAAAAGGGAAAACGGTGATCTTAGTCGAAAGAAAGTGGAGATGTAAATTTGTCGCGGGACCGTCGGTGCCATCGTCGGCTGAATCATGAGGTGAGGTGGGGGAGGGGGGATGGGGATAAAACGGGAAGTAAAATATCTCTCAACTTATTCTTTTTCCCATTTTTGTTTGTTTGTTGACATCACAAGTGCATACAAATACTACTACTGAGTAAACACAGATCCCAACATAGGCGCATACGACATAACGAAACCAAAATGGCTCCCATCGGCAAAATCTACACTTACCCAAACAATGCCCGCGTGCAACGTGTAAGACATTGATTCCCCTCCCCATCCACCACCGCCACGCGGTCGACAGAAGGGTATATACTAACTCCTTTCTCCCCGGGCCCAGGTCCTCACCATCGCCGCCCTCAACGGCCTCGAGATCGAGGTTCCCGAATTCCAAATGGGCGTGGACAACAACACCCCTGAATTCCTGGCCAAGTTCATGTACGGCAGGGTGCCCGCTTTCGAATCAGCCGACGGCAGCTTCACCCTGTCCGAAGGCCAGGCCATCGCGCGCTACGTCGCCGACATCGGCCCCATGGCCTCGCAGCTCCTGGGCGCCGACCCCAACACCCGCGCAAAGATTGAGGAATGGGCCTGCTTCGCTGAGCAGGAGATCACTGCCAACGTTAGCCCGCCCTTGCTCATGATCATCCACAACTTGACCCCTTACAATCAGGGCCTCTACGACATGTCGGCGGCCAAGTGTGAGCGGGCACTGACGAAGGTCGAGAGGGCACTCGAGGGAGGCAAGAGGAAGTTCCTCGTCGGGGACCAGCTGACGCTCGCCGACCTCTCGGTGTTTTCCGCCTTGTACCTGGCCACCGAGTACTGGGCCGATGAGGAGATGCTAAAGTCGGCGCCCAGCATCGAGGGCTACATGAGGGGATTGCTGGCCGAGGTTCCTGAACTGAGGAAGAACTTTCAGGCGTTGACCTTTTGCAAGAAGAGGGTTACCAAGGAGTAGATTGGAGGGCCCAGACCTAAATACCTCGAGAGGCTTTGCTGTAGCAGTGCTGGGTACAAAGTAATGGCAGGTGGCGTCACGGTTGTAATATAGAGCAAAAGACCTTGAAGATTCGGATGTGACTTTGCTGTTGATTACCTATCTACTAGACTAGTGCTGACTAGTAGGTGCAGAGAGACAACGAGCGGCTGGGGTCAACCAGCGTACTACGATATTTTCTGACATGATCCAAAATTTGCATCCGTGATTGGGTGAAAACCGAGTTGACGTGGTTTTGGAAAGCTTATTCTAGTTTGGTACGCAGAGTATACCCTAGGATGACAATATCTTATGCCGACGAGACGCAAGATTACTACTCACCCTAACACATGGGAAGCAAGCTAGTTCAAGTTGATCATACTATACCTCTCATCCACTGTTAAGGTCGACCGTGGTTATTACAAATATTTCGTTTTGAACTGCAATTATGTGTATAATCCCATATTACTCAGTTATCCTTTCCCTCCTTGCCATTGTTCTGGCTGCTGCCATGTCTGTACGGAAGTGATGATAACTTGTGTAGGTATGAAGTTGCTGAGTCAGTGTAAAAGGGTGCCAGCGGAAGCGGGCTTCTTGGCAAAAGAATACAGGCTCGTAGAGCGTGCTCTCATAGGGCATCTCGTTTATGCAGCTGTTCAACTGTGGCGCAGGTACCTTACTCAGGTACCGGCCTTACAATGAAGAGTTGAGGTTCAGAATACTAATTAAATCATGGCCACGACCGATTTCTAGTCCCTGCTCTAGACTAAGCTACAATAATCAGCAAGGCCCCCCGGGTGTTTGTAAGGTAAGCACTATGATGGCTCGGCCCTTAGTCATTGCGTGCCGCTGCGGTATATGTCCCTGTCATGTAGGTTCTGAGGTAAGCAACGTCGAAAGAGCCGTTTCCAGTGCAACGTATACAATGCGCTGTATGTTTACATAACCCCCCTGCATTCTAACCGAGTGCTGACCCATCAAGGTGATCCATTTTCAACGCCAGCGAGGCTTTCGCGCCAAGCTTCACTGTCGAACGCTCAGCGAAGAGATAGGTGTGCATTGTCGCTGTAGCTGCCTGATAGAGCGGAAATGAGATGACACGATCTTGTCAATACGAACTGCTTAGAAGGGTACGCATAGGTACAGACGGTAGGTACAAGCACCTACCTAAGCAGTCAGATATTTCGGAGATTGAGATTGACGTTACTGTCGCTTGCACTGAGGCTGAATATTGATTTTGGTGATTCTTTTTGCAAAGGCTCAACATGTCATGAGGGACAAGAAAAGAGATAAATAGGTTCTCCTTTGCCCTCAGAGATTGATTTAGATTCCTCATCCTCGGACACCTCTCCAACAATCAATACTCGCCTCAGACCTTCTGATTACTAGCTCTTCCAGCTTCATCAGTCTTATTTACCGCCAACCAAAATGAAGACCGCTACCTTCTTCGCTTTCGCCTCGCTCCTTGCGGGTGCCTTGGCTACTCCCGTCGCCAGCCCGGACAAGACCGTCGATGTTGCTCCGCCTTTCTTGCCTTCGCCGGAGGCTGAGTTTGCTGAGGTTGACCGCCGAGCCATCGTGAACGAGCGCGGGGAGGTAGTCAAGCGCGTTGAGGGCGTCCATCTGCTCAACTGCAACAACCGCTACTCGGTCATTCTCGTAAGTCACGACCATATTCACCCAGAGGTTCCCCATTCTAACTTGACCGCAAAAACCAGTACTGCCCCAACGACAGCAGCTGCTCGCACGTCCCCAACAACGCCTGCACCTACAGCAGCATCGTCCGCTGGGAGGGTGGCAGGTACTCTTGCACCTTCCCTACCGGTGTGTCGTTCTGGTGGGACATCAGGTCCGATGCTCAGTCGCAGCCCAACTTTTCCGTTGTCGGGTAAGTGAAAAACACGTTCAATCACCTCGAGCAACTGGATAGCAATGATGTTAACTCTCTCCGGGAACAGGAACGCTGGAAACGGCTTCACCAACTTTGTCATCCGCAAGGATAGCCAGAACACCTTCTACACCGACGGGAACGGCAACGCTTGCAAGAGCATCTACTACTCCCTTCCCAACTAAGGGGGTTGACTACCTGCGGCGCGACCGAAGGATCATCACTTTTCTCTCTGCCTCAGATATACAGAGCCCCCTTCAGAGAGATTTATGGTTGGATTCTTCCGCCTGAGGTCAACGCACGAATTTCCTTGCAAACATGTAGTTAGATTCTTGATCTTTTAGTCGTACTCTTCTGCTTTTTGCCGCGCTCGTCTCGATACGGTACCTGGCACTTTAGGTACCTACCTATGGCATGGGCTTTTCAATATTTAGTCTAGTGCGCTTGGACAATCTCAATTTATATGACAACCTTTCCTTTGCAACAGAAAAGTGATGTATCAACCTGGCTTGATTACCTAGGTACTAAAAAGAATACCTTCACTTACCTAAGGTGCCCATATATTCTTGCTTGGTTGAAGACCATCCATTATAAAACAATCACACGAAACAGCGCTTGCTACTGAATTGAACATACATACGTACATGTACATTTCATTATTTATTCTTTATCCTCAGAATGAACGGGTACGCTGCGTCAGGTCAGGGGTCGGTTACCTTACCTAGATGAACAATTGCTGACGTCATCCCCTCGCCCCCCTAACCCGGTTTATTTATATGTTGCTTGACTTGCCGGGCCACCCTCATTCATAACCGCTTGGACGACAAATAAACAATAATATTTTCCAACTCAACGGGAGACTCAGCAACCGCCAAAAAAAAATTCTTTCTGGTCCCTTCGCAACCTAAAACCATCCACCCACCATGGACTCATTCAATCCCCTTTCGGACCGTGAGAAGGCCCTCGAGAACCAGTATATCCGCGAGAAGGAGTAAGTAAGCCCTTGAAGAGAGAAAGAAATGTGGAATGGCTGACACAAGTCTTGGCAATTATTGTAGAAGACAAATGGCAAAGGACAGGGCAGCTGCCAAGACGCAGGCGGCCAAGGGAAGTTCAGGAAGTCAGGAAAAGGACGTCAAGGAGCAGTCAAAGTGAGATAGATGGATGGATTGAATGGATGGATGCTGTGTTGAAAAGGTTTTCTGTGAACTACTCAGTACTTTAATGGGACCCTTTTTTTCTTTTCTTTTCTTTTCTTTTCTTTTCTTTGTTTTTGTTTTGTCAAGCATGCAGAGCACGCTGCAATCAACCCTTATTAGATGGCGACAGACGCAACACTTTGGTACCTTTTTACTCATTTGTATTTCCGGATTGATGAAGCTCCGCTATTACATGACGCTATTTCATAATTACGCGGTTGGCGCTCAGGCAAGACTCCCTGCATCTTTTATCACCCTTCCAGAACTGTCCTCGCAAGACACCTCGGTAGAGACCTCAGTCGTCACACAAATCTGTCCATCTTGCTTGTTCGTTCCCAATCCTGGGCCGCCACTACCAATGACAACCGGATCGCGGGGATCTGTACGTTGCCCATAAAT